TTCCAGTTTCTCCGAGACAACCCGGCCGATACCAAACGAGTGGGACTTTATAGTGTAAAGGTAGCTATATAATAAACACGTATACTGTACTGAAAACTTCAATTTGGCATCTGTTCAAAGTTTCCCTATTACTTGCAGACCTTATAACCATATACTGATAAATGCGTGGCATTGGAGTCCGCAGGATGCTGCAGCCGGGAATATTGTTTGCTGTGCTTATACGGTGGCAATGTTGATTTCCATGCGAAATTGTCCCGGCGAAGTAAAAGTTCTTGGGAGAAATTCGACTTAGCCTCTTGCCAACAGCGTGTTATGACATTGCAATAATTGTATCCATCAAAATCCGAAAGAAATTAATAAGTTCATTACTGTTCCCCTCGGAATAGGTAACGAGTTTAATTTAATTTCAGTCGACGAAATTCGAACGGCGGGATATACTTACAATACCTAGTTAATATACGTACTATATGGGCGGAAGTAAATCGGGGAATATGCTGCACCCACTCCTCACAACACGTTACGTAATTTTTGTGATAAATATAAAGACATTTTCTTATTTCCGGGAATCGCCGTAATAATGTTTAAATAAGATATTTCAATGTGATACATTATATCTCGTAATAAATGTATTCACAGCGACAATGCACGTGCACATTGCTCGGCGAATATTTGCGTAATAATAATAATAATAATAATAATAATTTTTATGACAACTTATTGTTTCAACTTGCCTGTAGGTATTATATTATTATACAATAAACGGCTTACGGCGCCATAGCACGTTTTTCATTAGCCTCATCATGTCCTCATAGTATTTAGTATATCGACATTCGACAACGTCATATATTATTATTTATAGTATAAATATTAATATTATGTGTATAATATGTATGCACACAATAATATAATACAGTAAAGTTAAAGTATACACCAACGTTTGATCACCTCTCCCCTCCACTATATAAACACACTGTACCTATACATTCGACTGTTGCAAACATCGTCGACTTTTCATTTCGAATTCCCGGAAATTCATTGTCGACCAACTGCAGGAAAATCATCGTACCACACCGGCGCCTCCATAATATAGGTATAAACCATATAGTACCATACTTCGTATTATATAAGTTATCGTGTATACGAAATACGAATGTTGTGCGATGTGTATGGTATGCTATTTTGTACACACATATGTATATTAGTATATTACCTGTGAATTTATACTTCGTGCGTATTAAATTTGTACACGTTGTGTTATAGATAGGTAGGTAGGTACCTAATTAATTATGACATTTAATATGAATTATAGTCGCAACAGACTTTGCCTCGAAAATGAACAAACATAGACGTGAGACGTCGGGTTGTAATTGTTTTGCTATACGTCTATACGTATTGTTTTATATGTTATGCTTTTACTCTATGACTATAGTAAAATTAGAGCCTAATTAAATTTTACGCATGTTGTTTCACGGGATCAATATAACACTCGTGCCTACAGAAGTGTTGTTATTATTATGATCTTAATTGAAGTACTGCGTTCAGGTCATTACGAATCCCAGTAAACCCAAATTGGTTCCTAGGCGTTCCTAGGTTCCCCGATTACATTCAGAGTATATTTTCGTTAATAAAGTAATAATAAAAAAAACTAAATATTTTACAAACTTATTATTTCTTAAAAAATATACAAAAACAATCAATTTGATCAATATAATAATAATAGTACTGTCGGTGATGAAATATTAGTGCGGAATTTGTGTAATTAAAAAATATATTTTATAAAAAATCTTAATGCCTACTTTAATTTTTTTGCGTTTTTTGTGCTTACTTATAGTGTACTTATGTCTCAATCCGAACTAATTTTAAAACTTTTAGGGTATGTGAGATTCAACAATCCCTAGAAATATCCGGACATAGGTAGCCATGAAACAATTTCTTGCCATTTGAAATGTTATTTAGTATGGTCATGATGGGGACCAGAATAAAATTGTGTAATATAATACGTTTACGTATTAATGAGGTGGTTTTCATCCAGGCAAATGACCCAAAATCTCATATCGTTGAGTTAAATTCATATGACGTGTAATTTAGACGACATTTATATGGACAACTTCACACCTAATATGTCTAATACGCGTCGTCTGGGAGAATTCATAAGTCGTTTGGCCTAAAGTTACATAGATTATGGATATTGGATATCTAATCTATCCAATGAATTTCCCTTCCTTTTTTAGAATCCCATAACAACCTAAGATTATCTGAACATATTTTTACCATCACATTATTTTTTCTTGATCTCCAAAACAAAATTATCCATTCTTAAAAGTAATATTTTTTTGAACATCATGAATTTATTACTTATAGCTTTTATGCAACTTCTGTGGTATAAGGCAAAGTAGGAAAATGGAGTTTTCTAATACCAATTTGTACATCACTGTCTAATAGATGAAAATATATTCTGTCTACATTACATTTTTTCTATATCCTCTTTACTATTATTTTTCTATTAAATATTCTTATCGGAATTGATAATTTTGTCATCGGGTAAAGTCGGACGTATAATTATTTACCCGGTTTCGAGCTTAAGTCTAGATTTGCTTTTATTTTTATACTTACTGCAGTACTTCTTGTTTGATCCGATGCTAAAGACTTTAAGACTTAACAATAGAGTTAAGGATAATTCACCCATACTATCAGTTAATTTTTTGACTTAATGATGTATGCGACTGTACTCTGTTAAACTTTGGGTCATTCGCCCAAATGAATGACGCCCCATTAATATACTGTTATCGCGGGCACGTGGGCACGTTCGCTGTGTAGGTACAATAATAATGTCGTCTGGTTTAGCCGGTGATGTCGGAAACGTACACTAAATGTGTTTTGTTTTGCTACAGAAACGTTTGGTAACGTTTACGTGTGATCACGTTCGTGGCTCCGTGTCTGGACGGTACCCAGGACATCACCGTGAGTCTGTTCATGCGTTATATAAGTTGGATGACGAAAAAACACGCTGAAATAAATTTAATACCAACACGAATAGTTATGCACTACATAACAATTTAATATAGTTTAATATTTTTACATTATTTTGAACGAATATTCAACGTTACATTTTATCAAATAATAACACGATAATATATATTATATTTTAATATTCATTCAAACATTTTGAAAAGTAATGTATATTTTATAACAATATATGGTAAACATAAACACGGGAAAATCGTTTGAAATATATAATTTAATATAATATTACATCAATATGTTATTATCTTTTTTTCACTATAGGTAACTTATATTTTACATCATATTAAATATCCTGCAGAAATATCCTGCTGTGTGCGGGGTTTAAAAATACACATTACACACATCTATTGAAATAACGTTTCACAGTAAACCAACTCAAAGTTAAACCACTCGATATTTTAAAATTATTTCAATTATTTTACATTTATTAACAAAACATTACATAACACCATATTAAAAAAATTATATTTTAAAATGGAGGAATTTTTATCAAATTTAAATTTCTTAGAATAAATATTTAATTAAGTAATTTTTTAAACGTAAGATGCATTATGAAGATTATAATATTATACTTCCCTTACAAATCTGTCTTGAACAATCATATTAAAACGCAACTTTTAATTTGTATTGGTAAATTAATACAATACCTAATATTACTTGAAAGGTTTTAATCTATTATAATTTTTGTATTTTAATAAATGTTTATAAAATGTATTATTTGTATTATAAAAAGTAGCTATATTTATATATTTCAAATGTCATTTTATTTTAAAAAAAGTATCGGTAGTCGAATATTACTAACAATGGCAGTTTGTATTGATTTAATAAACTTATTTCTACTTAATTTTTCAGATGTAGGTACTATGCATAAATTATGAATTAATCAAACTCTTTTGTTGTGCTAAAAATTAGAATTGTATTCTAAAAATGACACGTTGAAATTGATGGAAAATTATTTTGAAGAAGGTATGATTGAAGTAGGTTGATTAATATTTTAAATGAACTGTTTTAAAATGTATTACAATTCCAATATGTTTTATCAAATAGTGGAGAGGTTTTGTTATTCTAATATAATATATGCATATTTTATTATTTGTATTGACAACTTACTGCTCTAATACATTTCTTTACCTACTATTTCAATCAATACAAAAAAAATAGTAACTAGGTACCCAATAGTTCAAAATTATCTCAGGTAGGTAGTCAAAGGTCATGGAAGTTACAAAATATTTTGAATGAAAAATACATATTAAAAAGTTTAACGATCACTGTAATAATATACTAAGATATTATGATATTAATGTTTTTTAACACTATACCTAAGTAAAGAACAAAAACATTTAGGTTATTAACTTTGTTTTTTGTCCAACACAATTTGCTATTGTACAGATGGATTATAGCTCATTTCAATATTTAAGTACTTAATTATAAACATAAAGTTTTACTGTATTGTACGGAATTATGTGATGTCAACTGAACTGCACACAATATTGTGTAAATTGAAAATATATAATGGTAAGAGTCTAAAACGAAAGATTCATTCTTGCAGTAGCTTCCAATCTTTTTTTAGCCTCCATAATGAAAACATCAATATGTATTGTAAAAATACTCATCATTTTTGTTAACTTTTTTTTTCTTAATATAAATATTAAAAAAAAAAAGTTTTCAGGGCTTCTATAAGCTATTAAATTAATTTTCGTTTTGAAACATAATCATTGTAGAGAATAAAAGTACATGCCTATTGGTTTTTTTTTACATAGTACATAGTTTTGGTTAAGTATTGTAATTTTATAATATTAGTTCAATAGTTTCATGCATTAAATTATTTATCTCTGAATAAATTATTATTATTTATTCATATTGTAATAATAATATAACTCTAGAAGGTTCCATTTAAATATATTTTTAATTTAATTAAAATAATTTTGTTTGTCTTACAACAAACTCTACTTAAATAAATGAAAAAACCAATAAATTATAAAATATATTTGCTTAGAGTCAACGAATTAATAAGCATTTCACATGAATAAACTATTATTGAGGCTATTATAGGTACATTATTTTAGTTTAGATATTGATCAATAGAAATTAATATTATTTTATTAAATAGGTATTTTTTAAATATTTACTCAGGGATTTACAGCATTGTGTATATTAAAACCATTATTTTCCTATAAAAACTAAGTTCAATGTAAGTATTAAAAACCTAATTTTATAACAATAATATTTATTAGTTATTACCAATGAAAAATATTTCCATATTCTATAATAAAAAAGTAAAAAACGAATGGGTGGGTGACATCAGGATTCGGTTAAATAGTCATTACTTGGGTTAATATGATTTTTAGTTACCATAATATACCACAAATTTTATGTTATGCAGAAGTATATTTATTGTATGTATTGAAAAATATATTTTGGATAACAAATCTTTTTTATGATTAAAAATCATAATTCCGTCAATGCAGTCTAATTTCTGTGAGTTGGAAATATTGTTATCTACAAAAACACACCCGAATATATTATGACAGTTATAGTTAGTGTTCAACTTAGAAAATTAATTAAATTAATAATTTTAATAAAAAATATGACGTTTCGTCATATTTGAGCAACTTAAGCTTATAATATAAAAACTATTGACTTGGATGGTGATTATAATTTGGTTAAACGTTTATGTTTGAAACTTTGAACATATTTAATAACTATGAAATAAATTAACTTACCCGTAATTTCCACCAGGATTAAATAGCGGGCACATCGACAATATTCGGTTAATTTTCACGGTTTCAATCCGCCTGCCCTAACCCTCCTCCAAATCCTATACGAATGTCTCCAAAATATTGTTGGGCTTAAACATAATGCTAGGCTGGGTTCTGAATAATTGCCCGAACGCTACACGAAACTGTTTGCTCATGCAACAATAAAATACAAAGTTTAATGATGCATTCAGCAGAGCTAACATGTCCATAAGCTCGCCAAATAAACTGTAACAAGTTTGAAAAAAACCCCTTCCCAGTATTCCACTTAGTAGACCCAGTATTCCTTGCGGGAATTCCGTGGCAAGAAATAATAACAACACCGCGATCATTATACGGCTAGTTCGGTCCATCCTTTTCTTAAGTTTCATATTCCTTATACGAGCCATTTGTTGCTGGGTCGGAAGTCGTTTTGCTTTCCTTTCAGATGCTTCACTCAACGCGTTTATCTAGAAGTTAAAATTACACTGTTGATACTTTCGATTGGAAGATAACCATAATATTTAGGTAGAATAGTTCTGTATATAAAATAGATTTCAGAGAACGTTATTGAATAATTATTGTCGAGATAAAATTAACCTAACCCGTGGTTAATAAAAATAAAAATAAAAATAATTCTTAATTTGAGAGGAATATTTTGAATGATTACTTTGTTGTCTACATAAGGTTTGAACTTTTAGTGAATATTAAGGGATGATTTGGTAATATTATACAGAGAAAGGGAAATACCTTAATAATTATTTCAGATTGTTGTTACTAACGTTGAAAAAGATTACAAAAAAAGCAAATTTACACGGTAGTAAAAAATTAGTGCATTCTGGGTGGTCTACAAACACTATAAATTAAAAAATCCTTTGTTAATTTTCGTTTAAAATGTATACTTGGAAAATTAAACAAATAATTTAAAAAAATGATTTTTAAGTGTAGTGTACCTATCATATTAGTAAACATCAGTTTTGCGATTTTGGATATTTGGAAGTGCCTATATTAGGTGTATTTTTTAAAGTGATAATTCCTCATACATTATCGTAATAATGTCATAATGTGATAAGTTACACTTACCAGAGATATGGTAACGACGGTTAGTATTAGGCAAGGCAGTAGTTTGATGATCACAGCATATGTCCACAGATGTATCATGTACAATAACTCATGGTTCACTCTTGCTATTGTGCTCAATCCCAAATGGTACAACGTGGCCACAGTGCCGTTTTCGACTACTTCCGTTTCCAGTATTTCAAACACTAAAAAGGTCGGACTGCAAATAATAAACGGCAGTAGATACGATAATTTGATGGCTATACTACACCGCCGGTCAGAGCATATGGCGTGCATAGAGTTGGGCAATCTGTAACACAATGATATAATTTTTGTTATTTTAATTTTTTGCATCACACCTAGAGAAAATTCGACTACTCGTTAATACAGTAAAAAAGACCATTACGAAAAATGCAATACGATTATTGTTATTGAGATTTATGACTAGAAAAGAAACATGATTAATTGTTTGGAAAATAATGAGAACAATTTAAGCCCAGTTAATTTCATTAATATTGCGAAAGTTACAGTTATAAAACTGTACAAGCTCTTAGTTGATTAACGTTATCATTAATTTATATACTTGTGTTCCGGGGAAAAATGTACAAAAACATAACATACAAATAGGTAGTAATAAAAATTATAATGGCATAAAGTACGTTACATATTATATAATTATGATATTGTGATTCATAAAAACTTTCTTTAACAACAAACTGCTAAAAGGTATACCTATGTATTATGTATCTAAATGTTTATTTTTGTTGTAATGATGTTATAGAATATAAAATCATTACTAGTTATTATTATCCAAAGCATCCATTAGCTTAGTATATTATAATGGTTTAAACAATAGCTGCAATTCTGAAAATTTTGTAGCATAAATGTATAGTAAAATGTGTAAAAAAGGCTTAAGAATGGAGTAAAAGTATACTTTATCAAGAATATTATTTCTAAACGAATCAGACCTGTTACAAAAATTAAAAGCTGTTTAACACTTTGATTATTATTAATTAGCGTCTATAATTATGCCTCTGAAAACAAAATATACCTATACAAACAACAATAGTATTAATTATTTTTCATGATTCTACCGTACTTCAAACATACCTAATCATTAATCAGGCAAATTTAATTTCTTTATAAACGGTAATTATAAGCTAGATAAGATTGGCGATTACAGATTTCAACGGCAGAAGAAAGCAGAAAAAACGCAACATTTAATATGTACTCAATAGTTAATACATAATATTTAATATTGAATTAATGAATAATTATAGCTATTCTATAGTACTAACATAATTAAATGATTAAAAAAAGGGTTCAAATTTTGTGTTATGTTATTCAGAAATAATTTGATAGTAAAAACGTAAATCATATAGTTACCTAATATAGTAATATATTATGTTTAAATGTAACATTTTATTTCAATCATAATTAAATTCTGTATGCGTAGAGAATAAGAGGATATATAATATTATGTTTGTTCTTTGGTCATATATGATACATTTACGTCATTTCTGTTTAATAGATGAAAAATATTAGTAGGTATGGATATTGCTGCATAATTCAGTGAAACCACCAAATACCGGACACCCTCGGTCGCTGAAACTTGGGCCGTTATTCAGAAGGTTCAGTTTGAAGAAAGTTTATAGTTTGTTTCTAAAAAACTGATCGCTATTTTACGGTTCCGTAAGGGGAGGTTTTGCTGTATTTCGGTATTTTATAAACTAAACTAAATTATATTTTAATAAATGGTTGAGTACCTTTTTTTTGATTAATAATCGTTTTTATTTAATTTTACTCGTAATAATTTGTTTAATTTAATGTATTTGTATTGATTGTTTTATTTTAATAATTATAATTCTTGAATTATCCTATGACTAGTTTTAAATGTTGGGCTGATTGATAAATGCATAGATTTTACAATAATGTATGTTTTTTTTTGTGAAAAGCAATGGAAACAATTAATTAACACGAAAAGCAATGGAAACAATTCTTCGAGCTTTTACTTTAAGGGTCGTTTTGGATAAAAAATTTAATCTAGTTGGTACTTTTGAGGAATAAATTTAAATGGAAATTTACTAGTACTTTCTGAATGTCAAGAAAACAAAAAAAAAAAAAAATTAAAGAAAACCGGAAATTTATGGACTTTAGAAATTTTTGATTTTTTTTAGTTTCTTTTTCTATAAAGGTCGATAAAAAAATTCCGAATTAGCTGTTGTTTAAAATTTAAAAATGATTGTATGGTTTTTTAGTTTAATATTTACTGAGATATTTAAATTCGGCATTTTAAAACTCGAAAATGGATCAAATCTTGTGATATTCCACGTATAAATTGAAAACATATCCAACAATTGGTAGGTTTTTAAAATGAAATTAGATTATTGCATTATGATTATTGAATCTCGAGTCTACAGTGTTGTGGTTTATTGGCGAGGCTGCCGGCCATTTATTGCACGCTGGTCATTCGCTTCAGGGTGGGTGTTAAGAGAACACCATGTCATTTTAATTATGGAAAACCTAAACTTTCACCGACGTAACAGATTTTCGGTGTTGTATATTCACAGCTTTCTATCACGACAGAATAAGCCGACAAATATAATATGCACAACCCATAGATACTATCTAGAGCAACCCAAGCAAACGCCAAGGTCTGTGAGATATATCGATAAATTGTAATATGATGGTATTATGGCGGTACATAATTTTAGTGAAATAGATGATTGTTGATTTAATAATTTTGATTGAATCAAAGTCTTGTTGCTTAAGATTTACACAAGCTCGTGATAATCCGTACAGTATAGTAATATAATTTGCTTGTAACTATGGAAACTCATCTTTACTTATAGTACCTATAATAGGACTTTAAATTAAGTAACCTACCATACAAGTTTTAAATGAACACAGGTCCACAACCACATAAAATTAAGTATTCTCTTTTAATAGAAATAATTTTCAGAAGTCTTTACCCTCATATAATGTCATCCCGTATACAGATAATTTTTAAAAATAATTTACCTTAGGATAATCACATATTATTTCTATACCACATTATAGCAGATATAAGTATATAACTTATTTAGTGCTTTCAAGTGAAAAACAATTAAATTATACGTCAGTGCATTATTTATTTTATGATGAGTTTTTGAAATTTTGAATATATTATGTAGTATATGATGTAGCTATTAGATAGGCATTCCGTTTACAAATAAAATTAAGTAGAACATTTTATAGAGTCAATTCTTGAAATATGTGTGCAACTCCAGTATACATAGCAAAGTTGCATAAAATAATTTGGTCCTTTCTTAATTATTTCATAAGTAAAATAATTAAGTAAGTTTTTGATAAAATTTGAGATTTAGCCATTCAGATCGCCTTCAAGATATATGTTTTGTTCGAAACTGTAATACGCAATATTAAATTACAATTTATATGTATATAATCATATTTTAATTTAAGAATACAGTTTGTTCTTCTCTCTTAACAATATTATAATAGATAATTACATTTCACTATATGTCTATATTAATTAGGTCCAATAAAATGTTCGACGGGAAAGTTATAATTTATATTGCTATAAATATATTATTTATTTAACTTTTAATAATTAGTAATTATTAACAATAAGTAGTACCTAGTTTGAAATTAAAGTATGAAAACTGAAAATTGAACATTATAATTAATATTTTGAATACTTTAGTATTAAATTAGTTTACGTAAATGAATAAAATACAACATGTATCATTAAAGACTAATTCCGAAATATTAAAATATTTTTATTCTTAAACTAGTTTTTTCATTAAATGTAATAATATGTATACGAATACTAGGTATTAGATATGATTGTTATGGTTTATGAGGACTATTTATGTAAAAAAATAATAAGAAGACTTAAAATTTGAAAAAATTGATAGATTTTTTGACTTGTATTACTCAACCTCAGATTCAAATAAAAATAACTTGGTGCAACTTTTAGTGACAAATGACAACACAAATCCGAGAATTTAGTGGTCATTATAATTAAATATATTTATTTAAAAATAAAATATCACGTTTATAATGTGTTAAAAATAATGATGGATTGTAGTATGATTTAATCGAACAACCTAAAATCATTTCGCCCGAAACAGGCTTATTGTATTTTCCACCGTTCGTGTAGCTCTTCAGGAATTTTGCATTGTCTTGAATCATATAACCTCTCCGGGTACCACTCAAATATTTTAAACAGAAAATATTTTCTACCTCTTTAAATCGAAACGGTGATTTATATAAACAAGGTGTGCGCATCATAAATTATTAATGGTTACAAGAATATTTATGTCAAAAACATAGTTTTGTCCTGCGTAATGTTTGTTTAAAAATTTTTTTTCTACTCTCTGTAAACATGAGGTACAATTCATCGTACATTATGCATTTGATGTTAAACTAAAAATGTACGTTATTGCGTCCATTTCAGCTACTTATTTTGTTATGACGCTGAAACAAATCGTATGGTAGCACTGTTAGGAGTACTCTAGATTTCAAATAATGATAATATGATCCATTAATACTCATAAAATATCGTTTTTATATGGAAATCAACTGACATGCAACATTAATAGAAATGTTATTTCGATCAAAAAAGGATTATTAGATCGCAGTGATGATCGTGCAATGTGCAAAGTAAAACACGGTGAAATTGCGAAACCGGAGATTTATAAGCTTTACGCAGCTGCGCTTGTAACCTATATAATATTATTATATGCATTATGTTTATTTGTGGACATTTGTTTTTCGAGTGCAACGTCATACACAATAATAGTATAGGGATAAATTATATATAATAAAGGCAGGTCCCGACATGCTGGGTTTTTAATTATTGTAAAACGATCGTCAAATATATTTAATATTTTGGTCACATTAATTGATCTTCATTTGTATTTCATACGACTATTTTTTTTATGTGACTTTCAAATTTTTACAACCTAGCTTACGTCTGGTTATTTTATATAGCATTTGGAAGTTGGTAAAATATTAAAAAAGAATGTTTATTTTCCTCGGTAAAATGTTATCATCATTTTAAAATGTAGTCAAACACCCGAACCTGACAGGTTTTTTTAATGACAGCATTTACAATTAAATAATATATATATATATCCTGGTAGTGTTTGTTTATTTACGTATTTTGCTGTCAAATTATAGATTTTGGTACATTATAAGTTATAGCAGATTGGTCCAACCTTTTGTAATTGGCAAGCAAACTGAGGTTTGCCAAAAGAAAAAAATAATTTTTTGTTATATTTTATTTTATCTCAAACATAAAACTATAATAAAATACACAAGTTTTTTTTCAAATTATAGATTAATATTATTTTACAATTATGATGGCTGGGTTATTGTTTTTAAATAAAATATTATTTTTGTTTATTTTTGATCACATAGATAAACACATCAAAATTATGAAATATACTTACCATGTATGTTTTCTAGGAGAGAGGGGGGGAAGACTTGAGGGCTGTAGGCAGGTCTTCCAGTGATAATTTTACAAAATTAATAAAATAGTGAAAGGTTTTAATTATAATAACTGGACTAATCAGTCTTATCTTCTAGTTCATGTTTATGACAGTGATTCTCATTAGACCCAATGATATTTAATAAATGAATAATATACTCTATGTTTTAATAAATGTATAAAATGAATATTCCCAATAAGCATGCATATTTCGGTGAATTGGTATTTTATTCTCTAGTCACGAAAACCTCTCATGTTGTTTATTGCACTGCCTATACTATGTTTCAATGATTGCTCATCATTCCCACATCATGATATCTAGGTATCACACTCTCAACAATTAAATTAATTTAACAAATAACATATCAAACACATCTCAAACCATAAAATCTATTGTAACATCATTTTAAGCATTGCCTTAAAGTTCACTGTCTCTCCTAGACCTCGGGCTCTTAGAGTTTACTCGCAAGTATATGTTCTTGAGCTTTGAAGTGGGCAGAGTTATTTCTCTGATACTCCGACATGCCACCTTCTAAAAGGATTAAACCTCAAATACATTAATTGTTGAGGCTAGGATAAATTATTTTGTTATATTATTTGGATTAACACTGTTTAGTTTGGTGTAAATTAATAAATTTCAAAAATTTTGCAATTTTCTTGCGTTTCTTTTTTCTTGCACTTAAGGAACAAAACATCCTTGAATGACCCAAACGATAGAGTTTTACATTTAAAAAATTGTTACTTGAAACTTTTAATTTGTACTACTAAATATAAATGCTTTATTGCACAGATGATTTATAAGCTTCAATGATAGAAAAACAAGACTGGACGCTAGTAATTTAAAGTTAGTTATATTGAAACCATCAATTACTACCTAAAATTTAAATAACCGTGGTAAAGAAAAACCAAAAGTTCTGAAAAAAAATGGAACTATGAAATCATAACAAAATAACTACCTATATCCGTCTGTTAAAATTGTGTTGATATTTTCATTATTTATCCTATTACGATGGCATACACCCTG